ATAGAGGAGTCACAAGAAATAAAGCAGAGCTTGACAGAAATAAGCGATTGGCGAAAAGGGGCAGGGAGACTATCAGGAGGATAGCAGCAGCAGTCATCAGGAGATGAGACAGAGAGTTAGTCTAGTGTGTGTAGTTTTGTGTGTTTGTGACAGAGGTCCGCTGACTGGCATGAGAACTGAGTTAGTTCAAGGTCTAAGGACAGGGTAGATAGCCTCTGTCTTCAAACGAACTGGGGGAAAGGAGGCAGCAGTAGTAGATAACAGAGGTTAGTCTAGTGTGTGAGTTGGTGTGTTGTGACTATCCAAGGTCCTTCTGACGCAGAGACGAGTTAGGTATTGGCCAGGACAGAGGAATGCCTCTGCTTCTTCAGCATCAACTGGGGAAAAGGAGCAGCATTTCAGTAATCCTCTTACTTAGTGAGCTGGTACTATCACGGGCGTGAAGGACACTAATGTATTGATTCCTCTAATATTGTGTCGAATTTTGCTGGTCTCTACTAACTTGCATGCATGACATACGCAGTGTGCAACGACATCCCTGGGTTTGGGAACGGTGCCGGTCAAGGTTGGAAAGTCCATTAGTTGTCACTCCGCCAGCCCTCTCTCTCTCTCCTCCCTTTACCACCTCCCGTCCCTTTACCACTGTCCTGTCACACGTCATTCCCTGGGATCTCCACTTTGCCTACGCAGGCGAGAGTACGCTCGTTGCTATTAAAGACTGCACCGAATTTAGAACGGTGGATGCGCTTGCGATGCTCTAATATCTCTAAACAGGTTGGCCAAAACTCGTCCATGGAAGAGCTTGTATCGTGTGTCTAACACTATTGCTCTGCGCCTGAACTGGGACGAGCTCTTTGGATCCAACCCAGGGTTTGACTCAATCAGCAAGTTTTGACTTGCAGTCTGTCTGTACGTTTGTCGATCGGGGCATTGTCGGGCACATGACAACAATGGAGATTCTTCTCAAAGATAGTGTGTGGCTGCTGCGACTCGTTTTTTCCTTTAAGTCTGAGTATAAGGTGCGTTTTCTTTCGCAGTCTCTATTGCTGGCTAACTAATAATATATAGCCTGCTAGACATTGCCTTATAGTTGCCAAACACAAAGTTCGTTTCATCTGCTTCTTCCTTGTTTTATTCACGCTTCGCTCTCTTTCTGTCCAACAGTCTTACACATGTCAGGAAGTCAGTGGACGCTGTCTAAGATCCGCCACAGTTCAACCAACCAACACCGTCTAGTTCCAACTAGACTGACTCTAGTGTAGACCATAATCACTCACTTTTCTTCACTGAATGTCACGGCACCAACTTCAAAGAGCTCGTTTCAAAGCCAGCACCACACCACAAATACACCTGAATCCACACCCATCTAGTCCACGCGAAAAAACAACAGTGCGGCCCACAAGTAGATGAGCCGAGCGTCTAGAAAACTCCCTCATGACAAGGTGTCGCACACACCAGTCAGTCGAGGCCAACACACACTCCACGTCCATGTCACGGCAGAGACAGGAAAGCAGAGAAATCACTGTGGCAGCCCTTCACTGTGACGTGTACCCTGACCCAGACAACTAGGACCCACCCAGTGCGACTGTGACTGCGACTTGGTCAGTCATATGGCGTTGCAGTTCAACAGTCTCAGGATGATGATTGATCAGTGGTTATTGGGTCATAGATTGGTCTACGTCTCATTGACATCAGAGGACTAAACATTCGAACACGTGGATCACGTGTGACCAGTCCAGATCAGATTGGAGAATCCCTCGCACAGGCATAGCAACTGATGATGCCTGTGACAATATTTATGTGAGCAGTTGGCACAAGCTGGCCGAGTCACTAGCAGCGGTGAACTGATCAAATCATATTGGTCGGAAGGGGCAGTATAAGGGGGAGTTTGATGTTCCACGTGGATAGTAACACTGTATGACATCAAGTGTATGTGTGTGATAGCAAACGATCGCATTCAGGTGTTTGACCTCGACTTGAACTTTTGTCCGATCATTGGCTCACGTGGCAAGGAAGAGGTGAATTAGATGCACCAGACATGTGCAAATTTTGACACTGCGCCGGAACATGTATGTAGCTGAGTTTGGTAATGAGCGAGTGCAAGTATTGGACACCAGTGGCCAATTGATGCGAATATTTGGTCAGGAAGGAGAGGGAAAACTGCGTCTGCCATCAGGTCTTCTTATTGCTGACAAGTATGTGTATGTGTCTGATTTGAATGGTGATTGTATTGTAGTGTATGAGACCTCAGGTCAGTTTGTCACCTCATTTGGAAGGTTTGGTGAGAAAGAGGGAGAGTTTCGCAGACCATATTGTATCACTTCTGGTGTTGATGGTTTTATACACGTATGTGACTATGGTAACAACAGAGTTCAGATATTCTAGAACACCAAATGCTACTGTATCCATACTTTATCATAACAGTCGATCTCTCCTTCACAGATATTATGTATAAAAGAAAATAATTATGATGCCTTATTATCCGATGTTCCATCAGAGCGTCGGTAGACGCTCTATATAGGGATGACACGAGTGAAATCTCACGTGATCCGCGTACAAAACGCCTCAAAACTCAGCGAGAATGACTCACCATGGCTTCAAAATCACTAGCAATAGTCTAGAGGCCAATACCTAGCTATACATATGCCCAAGACTTCCTACGTGCCCTCAGTTCCCCACCAGAGAATTCGCTCTTACGCGATTTCGCGATTTTCGTGTCATCATACATCATATCATCTTCTTCTTCTTCTTCTTCTTTCTTCTTCTTCAGACCCGCTAGCTCCTTACCGGAAGCAGTTGAAGCGTTGATTTTTTCACAGAACGTCTCAAATTTTCCGGAGGTGTGCACGCATATCAAGCGATCGCTTGTTTCTTGCCGCAAGTCACTACGGTAGATCGTTGAGCTCTTCCACGGTAGTCACTGAACAACGCCATTTGCTGCTAACTCAGCATCAGTGAGCCGCATGCGCCGAGGAGGGCGTTTCCAATGCGGTGCGCGCGTATTTTGCCTGATCCACGAACGAGACTAAGCCAGGACTGGATGCCTGCAGAGAAAACTACTATCATCCTCCAGTGCCTTCTGTAAGTCAGTGTACACTTTGTAAGTGGCTAACTTGCGTTTTGCTGTTGATTTGCACGAGGAGCAACTTGGCAGTGTGCGCCGTGTTACGCGGGCCTTGCACAGCGCCTTCATTCTTTGTCCCCCAGGTTATAGCTATCATTGTAGTCTGATTACTGAAGCCTGCCTATGAAACCACCCCACCATATGTGCCACAATCTAATTGCATCCTTGTTGGAGACACTACACATACACCCTGCTTCAGGTAGGAGCAGCCTATTAGCTTCTGCTTTCAACAGTTATCTCTACAACACCCATGAACATCAGAGTGACTGAAAATGCAGTGTTGTCATAAGGCGTGAAAAATAGTGGAAACAAGTGGAAAAATCATTTCTTCAAAATGAAGGGGGATATAGGGATGGCTTGAAGCACCAAAAAGGAAGAAACAAGGGGTCATTACACAGCAAAGATGCACAAAGCTACATGACACCATCCCTATATCTTTGTGTTATTGTTCACAACCAATCTCGCCCTGCTGACATTTTCCTCCCTAATTGGGAAAGAGCCGCGCTTGCCTTCTCCGTCATTTCCATTCTGCAACAGTTTACCTTGAAGTAAAGTTTAATATGAGACAAAGATATAGGGATGGTGTCATGTAGCTTTGTGCATCTTTGCTGTGTAATGACCCCTTGTTTCTTCCTTTTTGGTGCTTCAAGCCATCCCTATATCCCCCTTTCATTATGAAGAAATGATTTTTCCACTTGTGTAATTGTAAGCAGCAAGGGTTGCGGTAGTTGGTTTGTTTGTCTGTCTGTGTGTGTGTCGAAGCTTATTCTGGCACTACAGGCTGCGAGGCGGCCCATTAGTGATACCAGCGGCTTCAGAATTACGCGAGCCTGAAAAACAAAAGGGCGATTTTTCTGAAACGACTGCGTTCGAGAGATATGCCGTGAAAACAAGCGGTAAAGCCACTATGCATATTAGCACTGGGCTTGTCACACGAAAATTGGTCCCCCCCAAAAGCTGTTCCCCGGGAACTTCCGTGGCAGAAAAATTGTCCCCCCTATACATTATGTGCGGTTGATATGCAAATCGATATTATTTATGTGGGCCACCGTGCACCGCATAGTACACCCGCACTTAATTTGTTGGACGATAGTTGACAACATACATTACATAATGATGACATCATATACATAAACAATGTTAAGAGTTGTTCTCAAGGCAGGAGCTATGGAGGATCTTGGAGCAGTTGATTCCTCGATGAGTGGCTTTCTCTGGTTTGACAAACTGTCCGTGAGAAGGCTTGCAGCGAAAGTAGCGATGTCCCTTCACCGACCCATCGTTCTTTCCATCTGCAGAGGAGAGGGAGTGAAAGAGTTGAAGGAGTTAAAGGGACATGCAGGGGTTAAATAAAACGTTTTGCACTGCAGTGTTTTAAACGGTTTGGATGCCATGGGTATATATCTGCTCAAATAAGCAGAATTTCATGTATAAAGTATTAACGCCTCGTATTATAATAAATTCTTATTGGGCTCTGGACACACGGCTTTCACATAATAATATATAGAAAAATCCTTGCATTCAGACGACTAGATAGGCTTGCTTCGTGCGTCAATAATATATATATCCGTAGTTCAATCCCAAGCCACACCCCCTTAGCAAACTGGGTGGTTCCGATGAACCGCACGACCCCAAAATCAGCTCCAGTCACAAAGACACTCATCCCGGTCTCCTGACTGAGTCCTGAGTGACGTTGGGGATGGAGCAGAGGGAGGAGGATGGACTGTGCGAGGCTGCTTGGCTCGAGATCCAGTTCTGAATGCATGCAAATGAAAAATGTATGAAACAGAAAAGAAAACACACTTATAGTTTGATATATACTCGAGAACAAGGGGTTGGTAGAACGCTATGTTTTACTGGTGGCCTTTTTTTTACAAGTTCAACAGTAAATTGTTTTATGTGCTTGTTGTAAAGTAGCTGTGTGAGCTTCAGTACTTCCAGTTTTGACCATGAAAGCAGGATGTTGTGGTGTTGGAGGTGTTGAGTCTTCGTTTGTTGACGGGAGGAGAGGGATGAGGGGAGGGGGAGGAGAGGGAGGAGTGAGCTGGGAATCAGTAGTTGGGCCACTGTTAGTAGAAGAGCCACTGGAGGTTGCTGCTAGTGCTGGAGGAGAGAGTCTGAGAGAGAGAGAGAGGTGTGTAGGGTTAAACGTGCTACGACACAGTTCCTGCACTTTTTTTACTGAATGCACTCAGCTGACCTTTGACCTTGGAAGTAGGTAGGAATACCCCGTGGGCGGGTCTACAGTTGAAGTATCTCACTCCGGAGTGAAACCCCGAGTTGTCTCCTCCCCCATTGTCCAACTCCACTCCCATCCTTATCCTGACACACAAACAACACTAACTTTCAGTTTCGTAATAATATGGATTAGGAAAACCATACATCAATGATGTACAATTGTAGCGTAATGTGCGAGTGAGTAAAGGTTTATCAAAGTTGCCTCGTATAACAGTAAGGCGACCAATTTTCTGCTGATTACGTGAAATGTACGCTGAAGTACATGATTACCCGGGAGCAAACTTGACACTGCCGACGTATCTTAGAGTTTCGGTCCCGTTGCCTTCAACACTGACTCTCTCTCTCCTAACATTCATGGCGTGAGTATATACATGCAGTTGCAAATGTTTGCAAAACTATGCATAAGGAAAGTAATGGGAAGTATATGTGCACTGCATGCTTGCGCAATGTCTAGCAAACTAGAAAACGAAGGGAAACAACTCTTATTCTGAAATTACCACTAATTGTACAATTTGCCCCCTTGCTTCTTTGCCCCCAAATGTTTATGTACCACTGATCGAAGTTTAAATTTGCTCCCTTGGTTCCCCACTCCATGAACACCCCACCCCGTCACAAACTCACCAAACTTGGGTTTGCAGGTGAAGAACCTGATCCCCTTCAGAGAGCCATCATTCTTCCCGGTGGCCTCGTCCAGTTCAATCCCCGCCCACTGGCCTCCCCGGAAATCTATCTCACCTCCATCCCAGGCTGCAAGTACACAGGTAATGATTTACCAACATATCAATAGGGCAAAGGGTGTTATTCATCCCGAGAGAGAGAGAGAGAGAGAGAGAGAGGGAATGGCAGGTGAGGAGAAGGAGAGAAAGAGAAAGAAGGGTAGTGAGTAAGTAAAACAAGCGAGGTGAAGTGGGAGGAAAGAGATACAGAAAGAGGAAGGAGAGAAGAGAAGGGCAAATGAAATGGGAGTGCGAAAAGAACATAAACACTGCATATCACTTACAGGCATGTGAAAACTACCCCTGAACTGTGATTAGCAAATGAAACGGCTCTGAGACATAATCCGTATGGTTTGATCAGTTGGTCATTTGGTTGAACCCAGACCTCTCCATGAGCTCCGGTAGTTGCACTGTCGATCACAATCAGTTCCTGCGGAGAGACGCAATTTTGGAAAACCAACTGATAATCAATGCATAGCTAGCTATGGGCCTACGGCCAATGCGAGAGGTTGCTTCATAGCTAAGTTTTTGGTGTTACTATTAACCCTCGGTGCGCATGCGCAGCGAGGGTACTGTAGTTGGGTGTGTGTGTGTGTGTGTGTCTGTTACTCTACATCTCACTTCTCGAATGTTTGTTCGTCTCACAAACGATATGACCTACTTAACGGGCAATAAAGGTCAGAAATTATGAACGGTTTTTCTCTGAAAATGCTCCGTTGCAGAGCTAGAGCGCTTGCAGCATTGTAATGGCTGATGCCGGTAGTCGCCATTGTATCGCTGGCGGATAATGCGCATGCGCTTATAGTTAGCACAGGCTTATATACCTCGACCGGGTCCGCTTGCTCTGTCTATCTTGAAGGCACAAGAAGTCACAACGAATGGCGTGTATCAACTCTCGCGTGCTATCTACTACTGTAGCTAGCCCGTGTCAGACTCTCTGTGAGCTACTTCGCCGAGGGTTTGCACTTTAGTGCTTTTCACTGGGTGTGTATGTGTGTGTGTGTGTGTTGGGTATGGATTATCAACGAGAAAGGGGAAGGGAATTTAAGAAAGAATTAACTGGGGAGAGCGTGGGCGGCTTTTGTCAGCGTCATAGCATGCAACTGTCCAGGTATCCCTAAAATTACATGCAATCCTAACCACAGACCTGGCAGGCTTGCTTGGAAACAGTAACGTGGTAGAGAGAGACTGTAAATAATTTATTTTCTGGTCATCAGGGGAGCTCCCATTCCTTCATCATGTACAGCTTGTTTCGGCCTCTTTAAACTCCCGACATGCTGCACATTCCGGAAGGGGCAAGGCCACTCCGCCTGCTTGGAGTCCAGAGTCTCTTTTTGCAAACTGAACTACTTAATAGTCATGTGCCACTACTTTCCACAAGTATTATACACATGGGTAATGTATTATTTATGCTATGCTACATTATTATGTTATCCTAGCTAGATTACAATTACATTAGTATTAAGTAACATACTTTACTTGGGGCTTGCAACTTGTCTCACACTCTCCGTGCCTGACTGAAACCAAGCAGGTTTGCCTAGCTATATATAAGCTGCTTGTTTTTACTAGTGATGTCATAAAGTATAGCTACTACGTACACTATGACACTGGCTATGAATACATTAGTGTGTGTGTGTGTGTGTGTGTGTAAAAAAAAACCACAGTGGTGGGGGAGCAGGACCCCCACCACTGTGGGTAGTCCCGCCCCCCCACCTATGGGTTGACGGAGTATTTATATAGTATTTTCAAGTGTGGGTTTAAAACACATCATTTACTGTTGAGCCCGTATGGATTCATTGTGCGTAGTGTACAAATCCAAAATTGTTCAAGGTCTTGAAGTTCAGAAAAGTTGGTTTGATTAAGGGTGTCTATTGGTTGGACTTTAAGATCGGTTAGCTTATGATCTGGCAGGTTGAAGTGTTTGTGGATGTACATTCCTTTTTTGTTGTTTATGCAACAGTGCTGATTAATCCGTACTTTTAGTTGAGTTGTTGTACATCCAACGTATTGTTTCCGACATTTGGAGCAGGTAATCAGGTATACCACATTAGTGGATTGACACGTAAAAGAGTGGCAGATGTGATAAACTGTACGATTCAGAGGGTAGTTTGATTTGAATATCGAAGAATTGTTTTAAGTGTACTTTGCAGGTAACACATCGAGGGTGATTGCAAGCTTTGATTGTGGTTGTGAGGGGTCGAAGACGTGGTAGAGATATAGAAGACTCTGTAGACCTTGGTGGTGTAGTGCAATCTAGGGTCAGAGCTAGTACAAATTGGGAGTCTGCTAGTCTTATTTGTGATTGTACTAATTTGTTTTGAAGTGTTGGGTGTTTCAGCGGGATAAATCTTGGACACATAAATCTGAGTGTTGAATAGTCCTTTAGAACGAGTTGCTTCAGGAGTGTATACTGAGGAGGTGGGACTAGCTTGTAGACTGGAGTTTTTGGAATATGTATATTTACTCGGTTGTGTGGTTTAAGGTACCTACGCCGGTCTTTGTATTTCACTATTGCGGTAGTTTTTTCAACGAATTCAGGTGGGTAGTCTCGCTTCATGAGCCATTTTTTAAAACTGTGTAAAACATTGGTATATGACTCTGCAGTAGAGTTAGTTTTGACGTAACGGACACATTCTCCTTTCACTAGTGCTTTGAAAATACTTTTTGGATGGTCAGATCGAAAATGAAGATATTGATATAAGTTTAGTTCTTTTGGAAGGTTTTGAAATCCAGGATGTTGGTAAAATGAAATGAAGAACCCTTATAAATTGTTAGATCAAGAAAGTCAATAGACGATGTAGATTGTTGATGACTGAAGCTCAAACTAGGGTGAGGTTTTGGAGGAAAGAGCCTAGTTGACTGGGTGTACCTGTCCAAATCATTAGGATGTCATCTATGTAACGCTTTAGGTAGTATGGTTGGGTGGGTTGTGTAAGGAGAAACTTCTGTAGTATTACGGACATGTAGATATTAGCCATGGTGGGAGAAAAGTCTGCTCCCATGGCTGTTCCTTGTATCTGCTGGAAGGTGGCGTTACCGAAACTGAAAAAGTTGTTGTTGACATTGACATGCAGTAATTGGATAATGAGATTGGGGTCGAAGATAAGCAAGTGGCTATGTGAATGAAGCTCGTTGTAGATGATGTCTAGACACTCAGTTTAGGCAATGGAAGGGTATAGACTGTTGACGTCAATAGCAACTAAGATGGCTTCATCCGGGATGTAAAGGTTTTCGATGGAAAGGATAACAGGTGTAGAATTGCTGAGGTAGTCTGAGTAGGAACTGGCAATCGGTTGAAGAGCATAATCGATGAACTTTGCGGTTGGGGAGAGAAGAGAGGCAGACTGTGATATTATGGGACAAAGAGGAGGAAGACGTGTATATGACTTATGTATTTTTGGTATCCCATAAAAGCGCGGGGTGCGGGGATTTCGGGGTAGTTCGTAGAGATACTTAAACAGCCGCTTATCGTGCGCGGTTAGTTGTGACTTGAAATTTGAGACCACGTGTGTAAGCTGTTCCTGGACGTGTTCTTGGGAGTATCTTGCTTGTTTATAGATGTTGCTGTCTGTCAGATGTTCTAGACACTGTGCGATGTAATCACTGGTGTCCATGACCACGATACCAAGGTTCTTGTCTGCTGGTTTGATTGTGAGTTCCTGTGAGGCTCTTTGCAGTTTGTGAAGAGATTCTCTCTCCTGTTTTGTAAGATTGTGGTGGAACTTGTGACAGATGATTGATAGGTTGTCGTCGATGGTTTGTTTGGTGTTGTCGAGGTAGTTTTAGAGCCGCGCAAACCCAGAGTATCGGGTTACTGCTATATCTGGTGCGGTTGGTGGTAGGAATTTCATGGGTCTATATATTTTTGAAGTCAATGTAGGATTTGGAGTTGCTGGCTGTTGTTTAGGCCGTGTGTACTTAAATCTCGTATATCGTAAACGTATTGTACGTGCAAATGTGTTGAAGTCTTTCAGAATTTTATGCTGGTCTATGATATCGGGGCTAGGAGAATATGTAAGGCCTTTGCTAAGTAATTGTATATCGTGTGTTGTAAGCGTGTAGGTGCTAAAGTTATGAATCGTCAGCTCAGGGGATTGTGTACGAGGCGCTTGACTAAAAAATGCTGGTCTCTAGGTCGAGATCTGCACTTTGGTTTGATTGATGTCACCTTTTTCTGGTTCAGTTTTGGCCTCTTTTTGTTTTTGTTTTTGTACGACTTTTTCCTTTTCGCTTCTTTGGTGTTTCTTTGGGAGGGGGGTCAGGGGTTTGTGTGGGCGAGGGAAAAGGATTGTCATTGGGGAGGAGTAGTTGAAGAGCTGGTTCTATCCGATGGCGAGGAATATTATTTTCGGAGACGAATTTTCGGTAGTGGTTTCTGGAGGAATTTTTGCAGTGGCAAGAACTTTTTCAGTGTGGGAAATGATGTTTCGTAATTGGGATTTCTCTAATTCTTGGGAGATGACATTGTGTGTGATAACCTTGTCTAGATACTTGAAAATAATGTGCTGTACTCCTGGTGGAAGTCAGTTGAGAGAGATTGGTTGCCAGTGGGAATTTCAGGAAAATTGGAGGGCATATACTGTTTGGGAATTGTCTTGTAATTTCTGATGTTGTGCTGGAAGTTTAAGACAGTTTGGATTCTCTCCTTTTTGGAACAGTGGGACTGGTTCAATTTTGATTGGTCTTCCAGGAAACTGGCCACAGAGTCTATGTTCATTCTGGAGATAGAGTACAAGCAAGGGTGTGTAGCCATGTGGGTTTGACCTTGCTTTCGAGTGCGGGGCCTAGTGCTGTAGTGGCACAACATGGCCGGGTTGGATAATCCCCAGTGGAGTACCCAGTGTCCACGGCTCTCCCTTTCTCGAGAGTGGGGCTGCTGTCCTACACGTGACTTTCCAGGCAGAATGTCCTGGTTTAGTGTTACAATATTATCATGGACCTTGGCAGGCAGCATTGGATGCAGTAGGCACTTTACACACACACACACACACACAACACGCGCGTCGCGCGCGCTCGAGCGAGCACTCTACTCCAAATACCACCTTCCCCATACTATATATAGCAGCTTTGCACACACTCCAGCTTCAAAACAACACAGTGACACTTACCACACTGTTCAGAGCCACTCCCACTTAGTTGGTCCATTACTGATAACAAACCCATATGTCCCATACTGAATAAACAGACACCCGATATAAAATACCATCAACCCTAGCAGAACCTCATTGCTGCAAGTCTCCCTAACACCCAGAGGTATATCTACATAAGAATTTATGTATTATAGACACTCTACATGTATGTACCCTGTGATCGGCTGTGTATGTGACTGGATGTGTGGGGCAGCGTTGCTGGCATCAACAGATCTTTAACCACCACCCTGTTCTCAAGACTGAGGCATCCAGTCTCATATTCTAGCATCTGAGTCTACTCTTGTGAATAGTATTAGTAAGGTATATAGTAGCTGCGTGGTGCTATGTGCTGTACATGTTAGGCTTAGTATCAGCAATCCAAGCATGCTATGCATGAGAAACCTCCCGGATGAAATAGGTGGTCTTCTCTAGAACATGTCCGCATGTGAAGGAAATAGCCACCTTGCCTGTGTACTCCAGTTGTGTCTGTCCTAGGCTAAACATGGACTATTCGTTTTGTCATACCATCTGGATACCTGCATACAAGGACGCTGACAAAGCACCCAAACTCTGACCTACCCTTTCCTGTGTATTACCTCCTCTCCTTCGTCGAAATAACTCATATCCAACACACACGTGCTCTTGAGTGCGGGGCTAGTGCTTGGTTGTAGTGGCACAATATGGCCGGTTGGATAGTCCCCAGTCGAATACCCAGCGTCGACACGCTTTCTAGGGTGGGGTTGCTGTCAGTATGTTGTGTCTCCTATTGGTATTAGGTCTAGGATGTATTTTCAGTGACAGACACAGGGAACCGTGCATATACAGGGAACCTTGCATACACATGTGGCCACATAGAAGAATACTATACTTTTATGTCATTAGTTAGAGTGCACAGGACAAGGCCCGCTCCAAAATAACATTCTTAGGGTGGGTATTGGGTTGGTCTTGTGGCAGTTTGCATTCCCATGACAATGCTGGCTCCTTAGGGTAGGTAACCTAAGTAACAAGGAATACACCCAATAACATTGTCCCCCAAACCCCAATAGTACATACCTTCCACTGGTCCCTCTTCCCAGATTCTGAGCCTGCCTCTCATCTACAATGGACTCAGCATCCATTACCCCTTTTTTGTCAGCACAATCCAAACAGTACCAATCAGACTTCTTTAAGAAGCAAAAAATATCCAATGCCCTGGGCTATCAGCAAAATATAAGATGCTACAGGACGATTCCAAAGCAATATCTCCCACCCTCCTTTCCATTGATGCCCTCGGGCAACTCGAAGTTAGAAAACCGAGTCTTGCCAGCGTTATGAACGAACTCTTCTTGAGTACCTTAGCCAGGTCATCACCCATAACGAAATAGCACTGGCATTAATAGAGTCACAAATGAAGCACGTCCTCTCCCACACCGAGAAAACAATTGCCACTGCCAAAATCCCTACGAATTGCATGGAATCGCTGTACAAAGAGTTTATCTCAAGCAACAATGTTTCCGATCATGATATGGACTCCAGTCTCAAGGCACCCCTCCCAACCATTGTCAACCCAGCAAAGAACCAAATCACAGTAAAAAATAAACGCAAGCGTAAATGGCACCAAAGAAATCAACGCAACAAGAGACACAAGCCATGCCAAACCAGCCTTTCCCGAGTTCCAACCACTCCGTCACCAGCGACTTCATCATCAACGAATCCCAATGATCATTTTTTGTCCCAGCGCCCCATCTCCACCCATCCACCAATATGACAATACATAACTTCAGCACTTACAATCTTACAACGACTTACAACTGCTTAGCAAAGGCCTCACTTTCTCCCCAAGTCCAGATACATTCGACCAACACCAAGTACTAAAAGACTTTAACAGCTTCGCACGCTCTCTACGACTACGATACAACAGGACTAAATATACCAAAAAAACGTACCCACCACCTAACACAAGTGGTACAACTACAGCCATGCTATATAGACCAATGAAATTTATGCCACCAACAAAACCTGACACCGCAGTGACACGCTATTCAGGGTTTGCATCTCTCGAAAAGTACATTGATGACACCAAGCAAAGTATCGCAGACAAGCTCCCCAGCATGTACACAACAAAACACCCCAACCTGTCAACCAAACAGAGACACTCGCTGAAAAAGTTACAAAAAGCAAAAAAAGAACTCGCGATCAAACCGGCAGACAAAAATCTTGGTGTAGTACTTATGGACACTGACGATTACGTTGGACTATGTTCAAAACACCTTGCCGACAGAGATACGTACGTACCAGCCAATTTCTCAACAACACACATCAGGAATCAGCTCACATCCCTGCTCTCCAGTTTTACAGTGCAACTAACAGCTTATAGTAAGCGCCTCTATAAATATCTCAACGGTACGTCTGGATCCCGGATACCGTGCTTTTACGGGATTCCAAAAATCCACAAGCCATTCACACGACTCCCACCACTCCGGCCTATCATCTCCCAGTCAGCTTCGCTTCTCTCTCCTACTGCCAAATTCATCGACCATGTTCTCCAGCCCATTGCCTGTGCATACCCAGATTATCTCCGGAACTCTTCATCCCTGATATGCACTCTTCAAGATCTTCACATCCCTGACGAAGCAATTCTAGTTACGCTTGACGTCTGTAACCTATACCCATCTATTCCTCAGACCGAATGCCTGAACATAATCTATACCGAGCTGCACAACCATAAAGATATATTACTCTTTGACCCCAATCTAATCATCCGACTCCTGCATCTGAACATTACTAACAACTTCTTCACCTTCGGAAAATGTGTCTTTCAACAGATTAAAGGGACTGCCATGGGAGCACCCTTTTCCCCTACAATGGCAAATATATACATGTCAGTCATGCTCAAAAGATTTCTCCGGACACAACCCATTAAACCTTATCTTCTCAAACGCTATATAGACGATATCATAATGATCTGGACAGGTACAGAAAGTCAGCTAAAACTTTTCCTCCAAGACCTAAACCAATCTAACCCGAACATAAAATTCACTTACCAGCTGTCCTCCTCCACAATTGATTTTCTGGATGTTACCGTCTACAAGGGCCCCTCATTTCATTTCACAAATATACTAGATCTAAAAACATTTCAAAAAAAACAAAACCTATACCAGTACCTACACTTCAGCTCAGACCACACCAGGAGTGTGTTCAAAGCTCTCATCAAGGGTGAATGTATTCGGTACATCAAAACCAATTCTACAGTAGATACGTATGCAGCAACCATCTTCAGTTTAAAAAAACACCTGCAGCGACGTGACTACCCAACAGCACTTGTCGAAAAATTTACCAAAATAGCCAAGTACAGAGATAGGCAAAAATATCTCACATACAGCAAGAGCAGCAAGCCTCCCAGGCCACAACCTCCACTATACAAACTTGCCCCAACACCGAACCTTAACTCCCTAAAGCAACTCGTGCTACAGGACTACTCAAAACTAAGATTCATTCCCCTCAGGCACCCAACTCTCCACAACAAACTGGTACATGCCCTAATCAAATTAACAGATACCCAGTTTGTCGACCTGACACTGTTCCTAGACTGCGAGAAAGACGCACCACCTCCAGGAACTTTGGTCAGACTACCAACTCTGAGACGACCCCTCATAAATACTATCAATGCCTGCAAACAACCTAGATGTCTCACTTGCAAGATACACCTCAACCCCACACCCACATTCAAATCCAACTACCCACTGAACCAGACACAATATGTGATCCGCCACACCTTCTCCTGCCGGTCCACAAATGAGGTATATCTAATAACTTGCATGAAATGCAAAAAGCAATATGTTGGGTGTACAACTTCCGAACTCAGAGTCAGGATTAATCATCATCGATCCTCTATCAACACAAAACGAGGCACGTACATCCACAAACATTTCAATTTAGCAGACCACAACATCACCCATCTTAGAGTCCAGCCAATCGACACTCCTCTCCCCGAAAAAACTACACAGCACCTTCACAACTTAGAGAGGTTATGGATTAACACCCTACGTACTTTGACCCCATATGGCCTTAATAGTATACAAGTAAATTAAAAATCCTGCGAATTTAAAAAAGAGGCATATAGGGATGGTATAAAAAGAAAGGGGGACAAGATAGGGATTGGATACATGAAGCATGGTTAATGAACAGATTTGAGTATGCTGACACCCCCAACCCCATCACACACAACCTTATATTGTTGCCTGGTGTGCTACTCTTATAGGGGCTAAAGGTTTACTAAAAGCAAGCATTCTTTCTTCACCTTGTCCCTGTTGTTTTAGTAACATTTATAACTGCCACATTCCCCTTTTAAAACTCCACTGGACTCTATAGGGTGTTGGTTACTCAGTAGTGTATTGTAAGTTCTGAGTATTGTAATGGGGAATGTTTAATACTTGACCTAGGCAAGAATATAAGGATTGTGTGATGGGGTTGGGGGTGTCAGCATACTCAAATCTGTTCATTAACCATGCTTCATGTATCCAATCCCTATCTTGTCTCCCTTTCTTTTTATAGCTACCATCCCTATATGCCTCTTTTTTAAATTCGCAGGATTTTTAATTTACTTGTCTCCACTCATTTTTGTATACTACTACGTATCATGTCTGTGGAAGGGGGCAAGCCCCTATATAGAAATATGCCTGTTGTTGTCACGGAAATGATATGCATATCATGTTTCATCTCCATGTGTGCTGCCGTTAGCGAGTTTGAGGAGTGAAGAAGTAAATTTAAAGAAAAATGCCTGTTGTTGTGGACGTCATGGAAACAATGTATTACGCATGCGCACCAAGTTTCACCTCCATGCATGCTACAGTTAGCAAGTTTGAGGAGTGAAGAAGTAATTTATAGCAAAGTGCCTGAGGCTTTTTTTTGTTGTAGTTGTCATGGAAACGATGTAATTCACATGCGCACCAAGTTTCACCTCCATGTGTGCTACAGTTAGCGAGTTTGAGGAGTGAAGAAGTAAATTTAAAGAAAAATGCCTGTTGTTGTGGACGTCATGGAAACAATGTATTACGCATGCGCACCAAGTTTCACCTCCATGCATGCTACAGTTAGCAAGTTTGAGGAGTGAAGAAGTAAATTTAAAGCAAAGTACCTTAGGCTTTTTGTTGTTGTAGTCGTCATGGAAACGATGTAATACACATGTGCACCAAGTTTCACCTCAATGCGTGGTATAGTTAGCGAGTTTGAGGAGTGAAGAAGTAAATTTAAAGTAAAGTGCCTCAGGCTACTTTGTGTTGTGGTTGTCATGGAAACAGTTTAATACGTATGTGTATCAAGTTTCACCTCCATATATGCTACAGTTAGCAAGTTTGAGGAGTGAAGAAGTAATTATAAAGATAATCGTCTGAGGTTTCTTCAAACTGTATGCAGTCGTCATGGAAACATGTAGTTGTCATGGAAATGATATAATAGGCATACGTACCAAGTTTCATCTCTATGCGTCCTACCATTAAGGAGTTTGAGACGTGAAGAGTAAATATAAAGAAAAGTGCCTGAGGCTATTTGTTGTTGTTTTTAAAATATGTATTGTTGTGTTTTTGATGTTGGGTATTGAATACATTATGTATACAAAGTTTCGTTCGCATAACTCTTACAATTAATGTGAATTACACTAACACATGTATGTCCATTATAATGTATTGCCCATTATAATGTATTGCCTGGGGCAATTTTGTTGTTGTTTACAGTAAACAACATTGTTTACAAACAAAAAGGTACGATGAGTCCCATGTGGTTATCGATACGCACATTCTTACAAAATTTCATGGCTTTATCTCTTTCGGTTTTTGAGTTACGCTGGTCGAAGAAGAAGAAGAAGAAGAAGATGATGAACAAAACTTCCTATCATAGCCCCATACATCTATGATGCTAGGTACCATGTCAATCCCTATATACTAAGTACTACCGTACTTAGTGATAATTACTTTCTCCACATTCATTACATTTTTAGCTCTACATCAATGTATCACGAACAACTATTAAGCCATTGCTGATGGAGGGGCGGGGCCATACCCACAGTGGTGGGGGCCCTGCCCCCCTGCCACTGTGGTTTTTTTTTTTCCACACACACACACACACACACACTCTCTCTCTC